TTTACAGAGATGTGGAAGTCTGGAAGAAGTCCTTGGAAAGGGGTGGGAATTCAGACTCTGGATTTTGGACTTAAGAAGTATGACATGTTTATAAAATATTAAGTGAAACTGTTGACTACACAGTTGGTTATTTATATGGAATACAGGATGGAGTCTGTACATATAAATTTGACACTCATTAGTATAAAGATACTATTTAAAACAATGAAACTAAATATTATTACTTAGAAGTCACTGAGGATCAGAAAGATAAGAAATTTGAAGACCAAAAAATCCTAAAGCATCCAAAGCTTGGAGAAATGGGGAAAAAGGAAGAACTAGCAAATAAGATTCATGAAGTAGAATAAGAACTAATAGGGTCAAAGAAGAAGAAATGTGTTTCAAGACAGAATGATTGATCTAATGCTGATGTTGGAAGAGGAGGATTGATGTGATCCTTCTTAAACACAGAGATCTCCAGAGTCACTATCAAAAGCTAATTTGCCAGGGTTGAGGAGGGGACCAGATTTGCAGTGTGAGGGGTAGAAGCTTGCTTGAACGAGGTATCAGGGATAAACAGGAAGACAGATATTAAAGGCAGTAAAAAAAAACACCTTATTTATGCCTTAAATTCTATTTTGTAATAGCAATATGAGTTCTTTGTATTAGTATTGTTTTATAGCATTTCCCAATCTTTCACCTTTAAATCTTTCTGCATATTTATGACATACAAACAGTATAGAGTTGAATTTTCTTTAAATCCAGTCCATAATTGTTTTTCTGAGAGTTAATCTATTCAGCATTTCTTATCACAGCAATATATTATATTGATTTCTATCTTCTTAATTTTTGTTTATTTTTTTCTGTTACTATTTTTAAAAATTAGAGATTATAGAACACAAAGATTAACAAATGTACATATACATTTTAAAACAGAATTGATTTAGAAATGAAAATGAGAACAAGAAATTAAATATGGAAAAAATTCAAGCTTTCCAAAAACATTATTCAAAAAAAATCTTTTGGTAAATACCTGAGACTTCACTTAACAGAGCTTAATCATTTATAACCCAGGAAGGCAAAATTTTTAAGAAACACAGAGCTGATACCCACAAAACCACCAATTAGACCAATATATAAATTCCAGATGCAGGCAAACCCATGTGCAGATCTTTCAAATGGGATTCCTCCCTTCTCTCAGGAGTAAACCACTATATAAAATTTCTTTATTAATTTCCCTTGGCCTTCATGATTTCTATGTGCTATGCATGTACCCATGAGTTATATACGATGGAATTGACTGAACTCCTTATTTTACACATCCTCTACTTTTAAGATTAAATCATTTTGTCACATGTAGCTTTAGTTCTTTCATTTTCCACTGCTGCATATTTTTCCTTAACATGTGTTTCCTTTATACTACATCTTATATTCTACTATAAATAGGCATTTAAAAATTTTCATTTGTTTTTTATATTATAAACAATTTTGCTATAAATGTTCCCTTTGGTGAGCATTTGCAAGAGTATCTCAAAGTGAAACTGTTAGGTTATAAGATGGTATGTCATTGAGATTTTAATTGGCAAATCTCAGTAAGAAGTATAGTATCTTTTCATATTAACTGGCCATAGAGTGTTTTTCCCTCTATGTGAAGTTCCAGCTCATGTTTTACTACTTTTTCTACTGATCTTAATCTTTTTCTTACATTGATTTTTTTAAAAATCAAAGTAAAGTTGATTTACAATATTATATTAGTTTCAGGTGTACAACACAGTGATTCAATATTTTTATACGTTATACTCCATTTAAAGTTACTACAAAACAATGCCTTTATTTCCCTGTATTGTATACTACATGCTTGTTGCTTATCTATTCTATATATAGTAGTTTGTATCTCTTAATTGCTTATCTATTTCCCTGCCCCTTCCCTCTAATTATTTGTTAATTTTATGCATTGTAAATTCATTTCTTTGGGATTTACAACTTGAGAAAGTGCCCATGATATGATGACATTAAGTAAAATGAGCAAGATGGAAAATGGTAGATACGGCACAATCCAAAATGTGCATATGGGAGAATAATTACTTTTTGGCAATGGAAGATGCTGATGGTTGACCAGACCACTGTCTTTAAGAAGGCTCCATTTTTAAATAAATCATATTTATTTTTATAGCTGTGAAACTTATCCTCTGATTCTTTTCCTTTGAAATGAAGGGCTCTTTTTTTTTCCCTTTGCACAGAGCAATTTATTTGCCCAGTTAGCAGTAAAAATGATTGAGATTATCAGGGGAACAGAGTTTAATTTGTACTTTATTCAAAGACTTTGCATATTTCTTTAATAATTCTTACAAGATTTAAAACTAAATAAAGATGCTAATTTGAAATCTTCGTTTATTTAAAATGTGATCACTTTCTCCTTTTATCATGAAAAAATATACTAACTCTGATTTCAACAATAACTTTAAATCACTATGAGTCACTGGATTTTAAATATACTGTATTGTATGGCCTAATTTATTAAGTTAAAAGTGGATCCCTGGGAATTTAAATAAATAAATAAAATAAAATTCATCTCTTGGGTCTTTAATTCTATGATGTGAGGAGCATACATTACCAATTTTATGTACTTAAACAACACAAAAAAATCTTGTAAGCAGACTGAAAATCCTTAGCAGAATACACTTGAGAATTTTTAAAAGTTTAAAAGTATGAAGTTTTAAAAAGTTTAATCAATTTTAGTATTCATAGTAATATTATTTCATAGTATTGTTTTCCTGAGACTATTATATCATAGCATAAACAAATAATTCTGTGACTGTGGTTAGGAACAAAGTTTTTTTTCATGTGTAAAAGGTGATAAAAACATTAAATCTAACAAATTAAAGTAAAAACCTTTAATCCTAAATTTGAACAAAAAATATAAACATAAATTTATAATGTATTTTTCCTTAGAATAATTTCCAAGCTCTTTCAATTGAAAAGGCCTAGAAGCATTGACCAACTCAGTAGTAACTGGAGTACTGACAAAGCTTAACATGGAGCCAGCTGGCAAACGAGAAAGCTGAGTCCAACTCCACTACTACAGAACAAAGTAAAGAAAGGTGGATTTGGAGTTAAAAGTCAATAAACTAAGTATCAAAAACTACTGAGTAAAACCCATCTAACATATTTGTGAGATCATAGTGATAATTTTCTTTTTTAAAATTGAGTTATAGTTGATGTACAATATATAAATTACAGGTGTACAATATAGTGATTCAGAATTTTTAAAGGTCATACTCCATTTACAGCTTTTATAAAATATTGGTTATATTCCCCATGCTATACAGTATATCCTTATCCTTATAGCTTATTTTATACCTAATAATTTGTACCTCTTACTTTCCTACCCTGATACTGTCTCTCCCACCTTCCCTCTCTCCACTGGTAACTACCAGTTTATTCTCTATATCTGTGAGTCTCTATTCACTAGTTATCTGTACTTTTTAGATTCCACATATAAGTTAAATCATACAGTATTTGTCTTTCTCTAACTTACTTCACTTAGTATTCTATCCATCTATTTGTGTAGTCTTCAATTTCTTTTATCAGTATCTTACAGTTTTTCAAGTCTTTTGCCTCCATAAGTAGGTTTATTCCTAGGTATTTTACTTTTTTTGATGTGATGGTAAATAGCATTGTTTCTTTTTCTGTCTACTAAATTCAGAAGCAGTGATGAAAACAGAATTATAACCATTTTGCAGCCACTTGTGAAATAAAAGTTCCAAGCAGTGATTATCAGTGGCTACCAATACCACAAAAAGAGAGACAGTCAAGCATTATGTGCCTCCTAGTGTAAGTATTCAATACTACATATGACATATTCTTGCAAAAATTTGAGCCTGAATCAGATCAAGCCTTGGTATCAAAATCACAAGGAAAATTCAGGACCAGAAAAGTGGTTGAGTAAAACCATGGAGATGTAATTAGAAAAATCCAGAATGTGAGAAATTCTACAGGACAAACAATCTCATTTCTACAACAGTAATATGGAAGGAAAAAGGACACAGTGTGAATCTATAGACTAAAAGAGACATATCAACCTATTGCAGTGTTTGGAACTTATATGGATCCTGAATTTTTTTTTTAAGTGATGAATGAGGAAATTTGAAAACTATTTTATATTAAGGAATTAGTTAATTTTAGATGTGATAATGGTACTCTGTGTTATTTATGTGTTAAAGTAGATAGTTCTTATCTTTTAAAAACACACATTCATGAAAAAACATGAATAGTACGATTAGGAGTTTGCTTCAAAATAATCCAGTGGGAGGTAAAGAGAATGAGTGGAGTCGAGATGAGATAAAATTGGCTCTAAGATGATTAAGTAGCTAATGGGTAATGAATACACAGGGTTTCATTATACAATTTGCTCTCGTTTTGTATATGTCTGAAGTTACTCAAATTAAGTTTTTCTTTAATCTGCCTTCAGGAAAGCCTGTAACAAAATTAGTTACACTTGCCTGAAAATGTCAGATTCAATTTATGAATCTCCTAAATGTATTTACATTTTCACACAAAGCTAAGGCCTTAAAACAAAAGAATGATGCTAGTGGTATATTTTAAGGAATCAGGCCAGTGAAAAATTTTCCTTATTTAGAGAAGAGAAGCATTCCCAGCAATCTCAAAAATCATATGAGACACATAAAGAACCAACCAATTCTGTATACTTTTAAGTAAGTGTTTGGGTTTTAGCATGATCTGATGTTAGAGCAGACAACTTTTAGATCACCTTTGTAACTACTTGCCTATTCACCAAGGGTAAGGTGGGATTCAAACTTTGTCCTTTTACAATTTGTACTTTTAAGTCTCTAAAATGTTCTGAAGTTCACCAAAGGATTAAAAAAATGCTGAGTTCTAAAATTTCAAGTCTTTTACCAGATACCTAAATGTTTTCCACAAATACAAAAGAGCAAACTTTAAAAACAATTTAGAACTGCTTAATACTATTCAGACACTTACACAAAAGCAGATTTACATACCTTGCCTGGACTGTGAAGGTGCTACAGGAACTTCTTGGTTTGGCTCAAAAGGAAGTTCAGGTGTTAAGTTTTCAAACTGCTCTTTACTAATGAGATTTAGCTTCTTAAAGTTCTCAACTTCTTGCTGAAGTAGAATGAAGGAATCTAATTACTAAACTGGCTAACAGAGTAACCAACAGACAACAATTGATACCAATCTCAAAAAATGAGTTTTAAAAACATGGATTAATTGCAACAGAATAAAAGAAGATGTTCTAATAAAGAATAAAGCATTATACTTAATAACAGTTAATATTCAGTTAAAACAAGCTTGAGAACCCTAAAATATAATGAATATTTTATAGTTACACATTATAAGAGTATACATTCTTGTCATTATTTGTTGAGCATTTACACATAAGATCACTAGAATACTACAGAATAGGCTACAAAGTAATCTAATACATGTTCCCTACCCTTAAGAAGTGTACAAGTTAGATGAAAAGAAATGTACACATAAAAATATTAGTATATGAATAGTGATGCTCTTTGGTATAAGAATTGAGATCATAAGGGAGGCATCACAGAAGGGATGGGACAAAAGTAGCTCCTACTGATGACAATTTAGAGAAAGGGAAAAGTATCCTAAATTTTCAGTAATGTGAGCAAAGATGAGAAGCTTGGAATAAGCAATTATTTATTGAAAGATAATTCACTGAGAGAAAGTTTCTGTAGAACCAGTGACAAAAAGTCCTGATAAGTTGGAGAAAGCTACTAGAAGATCTTTAATACTAAGCCAAGAAGTTTCTACCTTATTTTGTAGTAACGGGAAACATGTGACAAAAGATAAATCTAGATGACTCTGGAAGATTCATTTCTAAACCTTTTACAAGCTTGGCAGCAAGGATGCTCAGCAGGTCTAAGTTGTTAGCTCAAAGGAAAAATGGGCCCATCCATACCCCGGGAGTTTCTAAAGCATCCCCTTTCTAAACTATTGTTACATAGTCACTTTGACCATTTCCTGCCCTGACCTACACACATGTAAAGCATTACAGAAGTGGAGGCCATTCTCTACTGAAATGTTGTTTGGCCTTAGTGCATAAAGACCATCTATGCCTGGCGTAAGCTATGGTATAAAAAAAAAGAGCTTGAGAGATTGCTTGCACTCTACTACATCTTAGAGGTTTTCTTTGGTAAACTGTGTATCATGGACATAACTCAGTGTTAATGGGTCCATGACCCTACACAGAGTAACATCCAAAAAGGGTATAAGCAGGTTAGAAAAACAAAAAAGTATTTGTTAGGTGAACCAAATTAAACACCATCATTACAAAATAGTTATGGTACCTTGCTCTTAATAGCTAACCAAAAAAATCTTTTCCTTCGGTCTTTAGTATAAATAATTACTTGTCAGCTCACACCATTTATTAGATCCCATTACCCTTTAAGTGAGGATTTATTATCTTCTCATGAAAATGCCTTAAATGATTACTTCAGCTCTTGCCCCATACCAAAATTGCTTTCCCCAAAGTCTTTAATAAGCTCTTCAAGCTAATTCAGAATCATTACTCGTCACTGTCCTTTATAGAGCTTGCTATTAGCACCTCCAACTTCAAAAAACATTTATTGTACATTTATCATATGCCAGAGAAGAAGAAACACAATTCTATCCTGATGGAAACACAAATAATATTTCCCTTTATTAAATTTAACTTTTTAATCTAATTAAGGTATAACACACAAACATACATATACATACACACACCTAGAGAAGTGCATAAATCATAAGCATCTATCTCAATGAGTAGTCAAAAGTGAACCGACCTACAGAACCACCATTCCGGTAAAGATAGCATTGCTAGCATCCTAGAAGTACTCACGCTTCTGTCACTACCCTCTCTTTCTTCCTAAAGATAAGCAATATGCTGATTTCAATTCTATAGATTCATTTTCCCTGTTTTTGAACTTTATAAAAAAAATCATAATGTATAGCTTCTTTCATGGAAACTTATCTTCCTGAAATTCATCTATAGTTTGTGGCTCTATAGCAGAGGTCAGCAAAGGCCAAAATTTGTTTCTGTAAATGGTTTTACTGGAACAAAACTGCATCCACTTGTTTACATATTGCATATGGTTGCTTCACTGCTACTGCAGAGTTGAGTAGTTGCCACAGTTAATGTATGATCCATAAAGCCTAAAATATTTATAATGTAGCTCTTTACAGAAAAAGTTTGTCCATCCTTGCTCTATGGTATTCTACTGTATGATCAAACCACAATTTAAAAAAATCCATTCTACTATTGATAAGCATTCAGGTCCTTTCCAGATTACAGCTATTATAAATAATGTTGCTGTAAATATGTCTTCCCAAAACAATAATTTTGGTTAACAGACATACATTTTCATTGAGTATTTACTAGGACTGGAGATGCTGAATCAGGGAGTACATTTCAACTTTAGTAGAAAATAGCAAATACTTTTTCAGAGTGGTTGTACCTAACTACATTCCCATTAGTAGTATATTGAAGTTCCTATTGCTCTACATTCTCATCAACACTTGGTATTGCCAGTTTTTAAAAACTGAGTCTTTTTGAAAAGGACAAAACTACGGATGTACACAACAACTCTGGTGGACCTCAAGGGCATCATGATTTAAAAATATCAGTCTTAAAGGGTAACATGCTGTATGATTCCACTGATAAAACATTCCCAAAATGACATTATAGAGTGGCTACCAGATGAGAAACAGAGGGCAGGCAGGTGGATGTGAGTTTAATAGCACAAGGGAGATATTGGTGGTGATAAAACAATTCAGTGTCTTGACTTTAATGGTAGTTATGTGAATCTACATATGAGAAAATGACATAGAACTATACACATACATATATAATAAATGTCAATTTCCTGGTTTTAATATTGTATTTTAATTTTAAGATATAACTTTGGAGGGCTCTTGGTGAAGAGTACACTGGACCTCTCGGTACTATTTTTCCAATTTCCCCTAAATCTGTAATTATCTCAAAAATTTGAAAAATTTAAATATGTAGGCACTGACTGATAGGTGTGTTACCTCATTGGGGTTTTAATTTACATATCTCAGATTACCAATAATGATGAAAACTTTTAGTATATTTTATTTGGATAGATTTTTAGGGAGGTGATTATTTCTGTTGCTCATTTTTCTATAGAGTTGTCTTTCCCCTTGATTTGTAAGAGCTCTCTATAAAATGTTGTAAATGCCTTTTTACACTCTGTAACTTGCCTTTTCACTCTTATGGTGTCTTTTGGTGAAAACCTTCTTTTTAATGTAGTATATTTTATCTATCATTTCCTTCATTGTGTTATTTCCTGTTTAATAAATCTTTCTGTTCTAAAAGATCATGGAGATAGTACCTTAATCTATAAGTTTTATTATTTTGAATTTACATTTAGAACTACAATATATCTAGAACTGACTTTTTGTGTATGATATGAGATAAGGGTCAATGTGCACTTGAAAAGAATGTGAATTCTGCAGATGTTGGATGTAGTATTTCATTTGTCAATTAAGCAAAGTTTGTTAACTATGTTGGTCACATTTTGCACATCCTTAGTGAGTTTTTCATCTGCTTGCTGTATCTTGGATTTTTCTTGATAACATTTATTAAAATCTTCCCTGTGATTATAAATTTGACTATTTGCACCTGTCAATTTTTGTCTTATATATTTTAAGGCTATGTTACTAAATGTATACAAAACTAATATATTTTCTGGGGCAACTAAATGTTTTATGGTTATGAAATGTCCCTTTTTATCTTGAATAATTCTTTTTGCCTTAAAAATCTACTTTATCAATAGAGTTACACCAACTTTGTTGTGGTTAGTGTCCCTATTTATTTAAATCTACACATATTTACCCTTTCCATTGCTCTTCATTCCTTTATGTACCTTCAACTTCTTTCTGGAATCATTTTACTTTGCCTAAAAAACTTCCCTTAGTATTTCTTTAAAGCATATCTGCTGAAAATAAATTTTCTCAGTTTTTGTATGTCTGATGGCTATTTCATTTTTAAATAGCTTCATTGAGATATAATTTACAAACCATAAAACTCACTTATTTTAAATGTATTATTCAATGATTTGTTTATCTTTATTTCCTAACACTAGTTCTCTTCCAGTACTGTGATTATACCATCCCATTGTCTCCTGGCTTCCATTATTTCTGCTGAGAAGTTAGCTGTAAGTCTTACTATTGATGCTTTTAAAGAAATCTGTCTTTTTTCTCTGGCTTTTGTTATTTGTTTCAGCAATTTTAAATTATGGCCTTGATGTGGTTTTCTTTGTATTTATATTCTTTGGAGTTTTTTGGACTTCCTGAATTTATCCCTCACTATATGTTTCATCAGTTTTGGTAAAATGTCAGCCATAATCTCTTCAAATAGTACTTCTGCCTTATCCTCTCACTCCTCTCTTCTGAGAATCCAATCAAATGTACGTTTGAGCTTTTGACTGTATCTCCTACCTCTAACACTCTTTTCTGTATTTTTCATCTTTTTTTGCTCCATGCTTCAATCTGGATTTTTTGGTTTTTTTTGACTCATCACAGTAATTCTGTATTCAGCTGTATTTTTCTACTGTTAAATTAATTCACTCCACAGAGTTACATTTTTCATTTCTGGAATTTCAATTAAATTCATTTTTAAAATTTTCATTTCTTTTATAAAATTCTCCATTTTATCTTTTTAAAAATGCATGTTAACAGCAACAAATTTAAAGTGAATTTTATAACTCTTATCTGGATTTCTATGCATCTGTCTCTATTTTTTGTTGTTTCTTTTTTTTTTTTATCTTGTCTTCTTGTATGCCTAATTATTTTTTGAGGGCCACACACTATTACTGAAAATCTGAGGCTTAGCATGGTATTTTACTCCAGAAAGAAATTGTGTTTGCTTCAATTAAGCAGCTACAGGCATCAGCCTGTTAATCCAATAAGGAATTAAAATGATTAGAAGCTTACCACTACTTCAAGACAAAAATAAATAAATAAAATTTAAAAAGAAGCAGCTTACCCTACTGAGATCACATCTTTTTAAGTTCACCCTAATATTCTAGGATATAGGCCTTTAGAGTTCCCAAAGCCTGGAAGGCCTACTAGATGCCCCCCCC